AATTCACCTTTTTTTTAAATAATTATTTAATTTAAGAAAGTTTATTAAGTTTAGTCAAGTTTGTAAATCATTATTAAGTTTGGATATCTGTTGTCATCATCTTTAAATTCAGCTTGTGCTAATAAAAATCAATCCTCTTCTCATGGACTTTTATCCCGAAAAAAAAAAAGAGTGAACATATTTCCAAAATACTATCATTTTTGTGGCAATAAATGGAAAAAGAAACATAAATTTTAATGGCAAGTTTGAGATAAAGTAAATGTCTTGGCTCAGGATAATCTAAATAAAGGATTGCATAGGTGACATTACAAAATCCTTCATCACTTTATTCACTTTATGTTAGTTAACATTGATGGAAAATATACGTCAAAGGTCTTTCCATATAAAAGTTAATTTGATTTTAAAAGAAAAAAATAATAAATGTGTAATTAATGAATCATTTACCATTTATTTATAATTTTTTAATAGATTTTTTTATTACAATCAACCTAATTATTATTCAAACTTTATTAGTCACAATTATGCTTTAACGATAATGGCTTTTTGAGTTAATCCACTTTATCTCAATTGTTTGGTCGTTATGGCACAAATGCATTTTGGCCACTCGTCTTATTGTAATAAAATTACCACCTCTTTTGTTGATTAAATGATTGACTGTCTAACTATTTATTGATTGGACAAAACACATTATACACAAGGCTCCCAAGCTTGAGCACCGTCTATGAGATAAGAAGGGATTTGTATTTTAGTTGTTCGTGTTGGATCGTTTTAGATTGTTAGATGTAAAGAGATATAACAGTTGAGGCTTCACGACGTTTAAGGTACACACTTCTAAATAGGGGTGAAGTTAACATGTCATTTTCACCTTTTTCTTTTGTTGTCTCTATTTCATCGTTTACTTTCTCGTCAAATGTGAGATGATTTGTAGTCAATTTAAGATTATGTACTTATTTCATTGACTCTATCAATATTCTAAAGGAGAAAAGAAAGAAGATAACTTAGTTAATTAAAATTATTACCTTATTTTCTATATATATTTCAAACTTAAAATTAGATAATATTGATAATTCAATTGAAACTTAATGATGATGACATAATAGTTCTCAAAAATAATAAATTTGAAAATGAAGTTTAACTTAAATATACAATACCAATTCGTCTTATTTTTAATTAACGGATAACATATATGAAATTATATTCCAAGTTTAAAGGATCTTATAATCAAAATTTCATTCAAAGATGAATTAATCCAAATGAGCTTTTAAACTAACAGAAGTGCAATATGGTGATTGTAGAGAAAAGAAGAAGATAATGGTGAAAGATTTATGTAGCACAGATGTCGGCAAAATTAATATTTTAAAAATTTCTGCCAAACTCTGTCCAAAATAATAAAAAATAGAGGAAGTGGTGTGTTAGAGATGCAGATTAGATATTGCAGATTTGAAATTGCACTTTTGCGGCGGCACGAGAAAAGCAAATTTCTAGACATTTTTTTATTGACAAATAAAAAATATAGGGTATTTAAGAGTTTGAATTCTGATTATTTTTATACGATTTTTTTAGTTAAAGGACAATTCATAAGAAGTGTCTTTAGATTTTTTTAAAGGAGATTGATCTTGGTTAAAATTTGTAAGATAGTAGCCGTAGTGTTCCAAACATCTTCCTACATAAAATAAGGAAAAATCGGATAACCTTATATTTTAAAAATATATATGTAATTAATTCTTTAAATCGATGTTTTTTGTTCATTTTTTATTCCTAGTTCAATGACTTAATTAGTTAATATAACAACGTACATACATTTAGAAACTAAAAAAATTATGGGGTTTTAAATGAAATCTAAGAAAATAAAAACATAATTTGTATTATTGGTTGATAACCTAATATTATTATACCACGCTCTTTTAAATACACATTTTAATCGGTTGCAGTTTATTAAGAATTGTAAAATTTAACAAGTTCCCTTCCATATTAAATTAATCTATCTTTCATTTTATAGTTTTCAGTAAATCTTCGCCAACAAAAATACTTAAAGGATATATTCCGAATATTCTTCTTAATTAAAATATTTTCAACTTCAGGATAAAGATTCCATAAACAAAAACAAATGAAACTCAAGAAATTTTATACATCTAATAAATTTGACTAAATAAGAAAAGGGTACATTAAAAACAATTTGATTAATACATTTTTGTCATGCTTAATAAATACTGAGAGTTATTTTATAAAAATAAAAATTATATAATTTACTTTTGAAAAACTTATAAGAAATCTTTTTACAAACCCATCCACTTAATGGTAGATTTTAAACTTAACTCAACATTTCAAAATTAGGTTATAAATAAGATTTGCACTCATTTATATACAGTAAATTTGTCTTATCTTTAGTCATTTTAGGATTTCCAACATAGTCCTCATGTTAAAGAATATACATATAGTATGTGAAACTAAATATTAATGAGTGATTTGTATATTTATCTTATCTCTAGTAAGTGTAGGATCTCCAACATATTTTCGCACATGTCGAATGTGAGACTATATTAATGAATGATGGGATAGTTACTAGATAACGAGTGACCCGATAGATTAATAATTAATAAATTTTGTTACGATAGACTTTGGATTTCTCTTATATCATCTAAAATTTGGACTTTAAGTCTAACTCAATCTTACAAATCAGGTGAGGTTTCCACCTACTCATAATTTTTTCTCATTTATATGTGGAACAAAAATAGTGCCTACTCAATCTTACAAACTAGGTGAGGTTGAACACAGATAGTGTCTACTCGCTACCGACCTGCAACAAAAAGTTATTTTAGTCGCCAGATACCCATAGATACCCAAAGATATTTAAGCAAAGATATTTAAGCAAAGATATTTTATATATTTTTCAAATAAAATTATAAAAAAAATAATATATAATATAAATTAAAATTTAATCTTAATTAAATTTAACCTAATAAAATATAATTTTAATTTTAATTAAATTAAATAAAATATAAATTAAATTTTAAATTTAACTTTTTACTGGTAATGAATACCGCAAATACGAATAGTATAATACCTCACTCGACCTATATATAAGAAGATATTAAAATATTTGTTATTCACTATTCGCAAATAACAAATACGTGAGATACCATTATTCAAACAAGAGTATTTTTGTCATTTTTAACTTTGTACTCATTAATATATTAATATATTGTGAATATTTTTTTTTATTTTTTCCTTTAAATAAATTTTTTGTGTTAATTAAACTCTTAAACAATATCTTAAAACATTAAACAAAATATTTCAATTATCTTTTATTAGGACTGTTGAATAAATGTGGGACAATTAAGCATGGAAGAATAAAATATACAAGCACGCTCAATGTAGATAATGCATTTGTATATGTTAGTGAAGTGATGTTAGAAGATGTTTTGGAAGCACACCGTTGAGGTGAAATAATGGCAGTTGTTGAAAACTGACTCTCCGACAACATCAAACAGGTGATAGAGAGAACCATATACCTACAAGGGTCAACAAATAGTTAATACTAACACAAGTGGCTACAATAAACATGTCAAATTCACAACACATTACTGCCAAAACAACTACTATACAATTTTATCATATGTATTTTTTTTTCTTATTGTTAAAAAAATAAAACGCATGTTGAGATAAAGCTGAAAAAGATGCTTCCATGCCAAAACGATAAGGTGGGGAATGTTTCTCTTTAGAAAAACAAATAATTTCAATGGATTTCTCACGCAAAATTATAATTCAAAAGTGCTTCTCATCAGATATCCTTCCCAGATTTAACACTTTTTTATTCTCTTTCACTACACAACAAATTTAATTTAAAAGTGCTTATCTGATTTCAATTTCTTCATTTTGCTCTGATAATAGTTTTTTTTTCTGTCTCGGGAAAGAATTAACTGATAATATAATATATCATTTAAAAGTGTGACATGTCCCTGATTTATTATTTTAGTAAATTGTGTTTTAAATCTCTGATGAACACAAAAAATTATAAGATCTAATTTTTAATTCTATAAAAAAAGGTTTATGTTTGGTTGTGAAAATAGAAGGATCAAGCATATCTGATATTGCAGATTTCTTTTACATTTCATTCAATAGCCGTGCAGATTTCCCATTAAGCTAAAAGAAGGAGAGAAAAAAAACGTGTAATATTCTTCGGATGAAATCCTTACCAGTAATGTTGATCTTGTCAAAAGTAGGATCAACATTTTGGTTCAACCAATCACAACTTCATCATCATTCTTTTAATTATGTCAATTTAATATATTCAATCTTCTTAATTATTATTAAGTGAGATACGTGGATACTTTTTGTTTTTTTGACTCCAAATTATATAAGTTGACAAAAATAATAATTTTATTTCATGAATATTAAGTTCATGCAATTTTAATTTTCAAGTTTGTATTATGTTAACTGATTTTTTTATAGTAAGAGTAAAATAATGTATTAACTAGGGTATTTTTAAAAATAAAGTTAACAAAGAAAAAAAAACAAGTAACATGAATCCCACTAAAAGTGGTGGTGGTGGGAAATGTTGAGATTGAAAGGTTGATTAATGTAGTGGCACCTATACATATTCTCTAAAAAAGTGTATCTGAAGCATGAATCGGTCAAGATTGGGTTTGAGTATTATTGCATATGATGGATGGTAAGTGACTCTTTGGACATAGCCCTGTCAACAACAACAACACAAGTGCCTTCCATCTAGCTAGTATTTCATAAACAAGTATTTCATAAAACACATTATATACTATAATAGGAGGCATAAATGAAAAATACAATGTTAAAAAGAAAAATCTAGGCTATAAACAGGAATCATGTCGCATGGGTGTGCTTTAAAAGGGAAATCTAGACCACAAAAATAAAATGGCAACAAAGGAAAAGATCTCATATAATGATAACGTTATGAGATTTTGGAAGAATATAAAATGAAAAAGATTGAGAGTACACTAAATACGGCACACAAATAATAGTGAAACTTTGACACAATAGTGTTGAAGGAATGCACATATATAAAGCCTGAGAAGCTAGCAAAACAGAGATATCATATTCGTCTTCATAACCAACCATGAAACATTCTGTGATTTACCTTACTATGTGTCTTGCCTCTTCCATTATCATGGTGATGGCCACGGTACAAAGGGCAAGGTTCTTGTTGGGCACCAACGATTACTACGTTCGAGTGATCAACGGTTTCACTGACAATTCCTCTGTGCCGTTGGTGATTTGGTGTTCTTCCGAAGAGATGGATCTCGGAGGACGTGCCCTTCAGGAACACGATGATTTTAGCTGGGTGATGAGGCCAAATTTTTGGAGCAGCAATCGCATGAAGTGTACTATGAAATGGGACAGTACGAGGAAGAGTTTTGAGGCGTTTAAGGCTTCACGAGACACTGAACGATGTGGGATTCATAGGATGTGCTCCTGGATGGTCACTCAGGATGGCTTCTATTTCAGCAATGATGAGGTTAATTGGAGGAAGGACTTTTTGTGGTGAATGTGTGAGAACTGTGATGCCAAGGTTTTCCCCTTCATCTTGGATTCACATCACAACCCTGCTTCAATATGGGGATGCTGTTAGCCAATATCAGCACAGAGGAGTTTTGTATAATTATATATAAATTAAATAAATAAAAAATGTGTGTGCAGTTTTTGTAATGGTAGAAAAGGTGACGAGTTTTGTTTTGTTTTATCGTAACATAGGATGTATCGGTCGAGAATCCAAATGTTTTGCTTGTAGAACTCAGCTATGATAATGAGGATGCCATTGTCGTGCATATCCTTCATTTCTTTTAATAAAGAAAAGAAAAAATGTGTTAAACCGCTTTGAACTTTGAATGTAGGATCAGTTTAGGATTCTCCAGTTACTTCACTGAGTCTATCAATGTCCTAAAGGAGAAAAGGAAGAAAAAAAATGATAATTTATTAAGTTAAAAGGATAAGTACCTTATTTTCTATATATATGTATAT